TCGCAAATCACAAAATGAGTTGAAACGTTCGAATTCACCAATCAACTTTTTCGATTTTGTTTGAAACTATCATGATTATGAATCTATCAACTACAGACAAGATCGGATCGGGAAACCAGAACACCGAGCAGTGAATTAATTAACCGTTTGCGAACGAGACAGCGAACGAGACATTCTGATCATGTTATATTCTCCACATGGATGATATTTCACACCTTTCGTTTACTAAACCACTCAGGACTGCATTTGACGGCCCAACTGATGAAAGAATGGAAAAGAATAGACACGAGTCATGAACGAGAAAAATACGTAAAATATCGGAAAAATTGAGTGGGTCGGGGTAGGGCGTGGATGCACCGGTGACGCTTAATTGAAGCATCCGGTAGTTTTCAGGCACCAAACCGGGTGTCAAAAGACCCCAATGACTAGTTCGGATGATCAAGCTGTCAATCTCCGGCCATGGTCGTTGTTTGATGCTTTATTATTGATTGAAATTCAGAATACCAGACATAACCCTGAATTATGTGATGTGTCAAGTTTCTCTCATACCTTTAAGATCATTCACGACTTATGCACACCTTATCACGTTCTGCCTCAGCCTGCTTCTGAACTTGTTACGCGACATCCACTCTTAGGTGTATTCGTCATCGCCATCATCATTGTCGTGGCCGTCGTCGTTCAGCGAAATACAGTGAAACGAACTTCACTGATCGCTGTCAAACTCATACAAACAAAATGAGAATGTGTAAGGTGAACGGGCATTGGGTCAATTTTGAGGGATGGAGAAAGATAGCGAACCTTTATGGTCAGCCCATAGAGTGCATAGTACAACTGTGCACACATACTATTTCAAGCATTCTGGTCTGATAATAAGTGACAACAGGAACGCCACTGTTGGTTCGTAGCCATGTCCTTCAGTGTCCCCAACCAAACAGTCCTTTGGACCGGGACCCGGGAGACGAGATACTTACTATACCTAATGGCTCTATGCAAACAACACGGTATGGTTATTCCAGATATCTGACAGAATTGTAATGAATTGCTTCTTACTTCCGTCTAAAAAGAATTAATCAATTGTATGAGTCACTGAATACAAGGACTGCAGGTTTCTTTCACCACTTATTGATATTTTGAATGTCATTGGAATTTGACTACTTATTAGTAGTATCACAAGATTCGTAAACATCAGCTAATCCGCTAACTGGTTTGGCCTTGAATTAAATGGTCACACGAAGACGGACACGGGAAAGTGACCGAAACTTAGTTAAATTTCCAGTCACATTTGAAAAAAAACAGAGCTGGCAGGGAAATTTTCTGACATGCTCACAGTTTTATCGGGAATTACGTTTTGACTATCATAAGATCTTGTAGCCGAAAATCGTATCAGAAAAAGACACTCATTGAACGCATGAACAGATCAACCAACTGGTGGGCAATCCACCATACAACAGATACTATGAAAAAATGCTGCGAGATACGAACAAACTTCCTTGGCATTTGTGTTATTAAATTTCCCGCTGGCTCTATAAAATATTTAGTTTATTGATGGAATAAAGTTACCTAGTGGAACAGTTAAACGACAGTAAACAAGTGTATTTCATCTGGAGTTCGAAATTCATGAACGTAAATCAACAAGCGATCGGAATACAGAAAAAGCCGATTATTGGTTTGCTTGTGGTCAAAGAATGTTGTGATTTAATAGTGGTTCATGCAACATAAAAAGAGAGTGACCGCGTTTTGTTTGCAAAAGAAATTTAGACCTAGTTATGCTGGTGTTTGTTACGAATTTGATCTTAAGAGAGTGAGTGCATTTAAGGTATTCAAAGGAGGATAGTCGTAGTAATCAGAATAGTCACGAATCACAAATGACAATCAAATCACGGGATCACACTAGTAGTCCTCTGCTAAGGTTTATTGTCAACCAGAAACAGGGAGAGTGACACAGAAGTAGCGGTCCATTTATTGAGAGAAATCAAGGGTGTTAAATAGTACCGAAGAGAGGTATCATTGGATAAGCAGGCATCACCGTTTGCGTTCTCTTCGTCACACGGATCCCGTAGGATTGGTCGGGACTGTTGGCCTCCAACTCATTGTCTTGAAACTGTAATGCGTAGTCCTTTGAATGGCGTTACCCCAGGGGCGTAAATCACAGCATATAGTATTCATGATGATAGTGAAATCGTGTTACAAAAGTTGATCTACGAAATGAGACACTCAATTCACCATCCGAAGCGACATCTGAGTAAAGGGTTAGCAACTCAAATGTTTTTCTTACTCTAATAAACATAAGTAGGACGAGTTGTCCGAACGCAATGCCTGAATTTCACACCCGTTTATTTTCGTACGGTTTGCATGCTCACACAGTGCGTTTACATGTCAGTTACTATCCAACCCCGACGGGATACCATTGCTGGGGAGGTCATGGAAATAGCGTGTAGAAATAAATGGCTGTAGTTAACACAGACAATGATCCGTCAGCATCCCGTGCTAGCGTACATCACCGGGACAACGTCTCAGAATTTGAAAATTTATTAGAGTCACGGTTATATATATATATATATATATATATATATATATAACCGTGACTCTAATA